CTCTATAGCTCAGTTGGTTAGAGCTTGACAACTGGACTCTATAGCTCAGTTGGTTAGAGCTTGACAACTGGTCTCTGTAGCTCAGTTGGTTAGAGCTTGACAACTGGACTCTATAGCTCAGTTGGTTAGAGCTTGACAACTGGACTCTGTAGCTCAGTTGGTTAGAGCTTGACAACTGGACTCTATAGCTCAGTTGGTTAGAGCTTGACAACTGGACTCTATAGCTCAGTTGGTTAGAGCTTGACAACTGGACTCTGTAGCTCAGTTGGTTAGAGCTTGACAACTGGTCTCTGTAGCTCAGTTGGTTAGACCTCGACAACTGGACTTTGTAGCTCAGTTGGTTAGAGCTCGACAACTGGCCTCTGTAGCTCAGTTGGTTAGAGCTTGACAACTGGACTCTGTAGCTCAGTTGGTTAGAGCTTGACAACTGGACTCTGTAGCTCAGTTGGTTAGAGCTTGACAACTGGACTCTGTAGCTCAGTTGGTTAGAGCGCTGTACTGGAATCGCAGGGTCGCAGGTTCGATTCCTGTCAGAGGGTATATAGTTGTATTTTTTACAACTGCTCCTGGTTAGGTGTAATAAATGTATAAAAATTCCACTCAAAATTTTCATCTACAAATTCCTTCAACAACAGACCTTCCCGTTTATTGACGTTTGATCCAATGGCCTCGTTTTCGTGTCAGGTATTTACTTGTATTTCGTGCACAATAGGGTTAAGAACTTACTTGTTATTGGGCTTAATATCAACCAGGAACCAAATCGTGAAGGAAACATGGGAATATAACCTTCATGTGCGCATGTCATGCCAAAACTGGCAAACACGAAAACGAGGCCATTGGGTCAAAAGTGAATAAACGGTAAGGTCTATTAGTTGTATCGAGTAAGACGCCCAAAAATTCTGATAAATAGTTTTTGAGCCGTATGTCTAGGCTGTATCACTTCGTAAAGTATGCGCAAAACTGACTAGATGTCACTTTTAAAGTCTTCATATGAACACGAAGAACAACATCCTCGTGTCCGTTTCCATTCTCTCAAAACGTTATTAGTTACTGATGGTCTTATTCAAACTGATGGAACCGCATTTACCTTCTGTTGTAAATGTCAGGTTTTTCATGTGAAGAGCGAAAAGTTATTCATCACTCTGGAACGACAATTTTCCAAAACCGGACACTAGCAGGACTTTTTGAAATAATAGCAACAATATCGTTTCTAGAATGCGCTACAATGAACTTCGGAGAATCAAAGTAAGGTAACTTATCAGAAATCCTCCATTTTGCTACATATTCGCCAGTTGCTAAATTCACTGCATCCAACCAGTGACAATTATTCCTATCATCAGCGACAACACAATAAGAATTGCCAGCATAAATCTCGATCAATCGTTTGAACCTGTCATTCCGGTAATCATCATCTGGAGACATCATCGTCGTGATTTTCGAGCTTAGCGAGTTTAAATCGACAAAGATCAAATGTGGTCCTGGAGGTGGTAGCAAATATCTTTTGCGAAAAAAATACCCTGTTCTAATCGTTCTGATCTTTCTTGAGTAAAAATTCAACACCAAAACTCCTTTAGTGTTGTCGCTTGTGATGCAACATTTACATTGCTTGATTTTTAATTCACTGCCTTTCACAACAGAAAAATCTTTCATGTCTAGGAGTTCTCCAGTGTTTGAAGCTACCCAGTGAAGAGGCTGTGAGGTTTGATCTTCTTTCCATACATGGAAGGTTAATTCCCAGCTAACCATAAGAATGATTGAGTTACAAGATGATACTGCCGCACATATAATCGGGTTATCAACGGGCAACGTCTCCACATACTGCAACTCACCGTTCTTAATTCTTGCCACATTGACAGAATTCTCTTGGTCGATGAAAATTAGCACATCTGAAAAGGTCAGCAATTTCCTGGGTTCCCAATCGATCTCTTCTATTCGTGCGCTTGATGGGTCCAAAGTTCGTCCGTTGGAGATGGGTATCTTCACGAGAACATCATCCATATCATATATCCAAAGCAAACTTTCTGACCACCAGCAGCCCTCTGCCCGCAACAGAGGGAATCGCACGACTTGTATAACAGTACAAAGATTAGTGTCCCAAATAAGAACGTAAAGAGGATCACCATTTGCACAAGTTGCAAGGAAAGAGCCGTCTGGTGAGAAACAGCAACACGAAATGTCATACGGTTCTGAAACAAACGAAGGCTGAATCGACATTGAAGGCTGATCGGCAACACTGAAGATATCTAACTTGTTAACAAATGGCACCACGTATAGTTTTTGAACTCTAACGGGAGTAAGTCTGGCAAGTCTGGTTGCTTCCGAGTCACACGGACATATACAATAACGGTAGTGTACGGATTGACCATCCTCGAATGCAGTCAACTTAGTTAACTCATTGGTATGGTACAACACGCAGAAGCGCCAGTGATATCTAATGGTATCCCGTGGAAAGTTTCGTAAACATGCTCTGGCCAGACGAATAACGAGAAGGCCTTGGTGTGACTGAAATAGATAAATACAACCACCATCACAGGACAGTAAAAATTCATTCTCATTATTCCTACCGGAGGGAAAGTAATACAAAGACAATCGGCAATCACATGGATCCATTTCTTCTGGGTGAATAATGCGTCGATCGACTCTTTGTAGGGTTAATGCATACCACACAGTGAACTCATCGCATTCATGTATGCACTCTTTAGCAAGCGTTAACTTATCGCATTGATCATAATTCTTCATATCTTTGTACACCGCAATAAACAAACCACATTCACTGAAGGAGCAGCGATCAACAGGTCCTCCAGCTTCCAATCGTGCTAATAGGTTGCCACTGTTGACATCCCATAACTTTACCTTTTCTGAACCATCGCAAGTAACCAGCCTGACGCTTGATGGCGAAAACGAACAGGACCACAACGGACCACCGTGCATGGAACGACAAGCATTAGATTCCGGCATGGTATCAAAGGTGTGTACTTCTTGGAAGTCTGGCACTCTGAAAATTGAAATCCATCCATCTCTACATCCAGCTGCAACAAGCTGTTCGTTGGATGATACACACATACACGTAACATCCGTTCGCAAGGAAACTGACGTGTAAAAATGGTTTGTTAGGTTTGTAGCGTCCAAATCTTCAAACCAAACATGATGCCCATGTTCTAACAATAATCTAGCAAGTAATCTTGTTTCATTACTGCAATTGATTCGATTTGCTACAGATTGTAAATAAGATGCAGGATGCTTTCGGATGTCAATCAAAAAATAAGAACTTTGAAAAAGCTCGATATGCCAGTCCAACTCCTGTAACAGTTCACTGCTTAAACTTGAAGGTGAATTTTTAACGATTTCCTTCCATTCGCGTGCCATTTGATCGCGGTCTATCTGATTCGTGATCTTCGCGTGGACTATTTTTACATCGACTGACGAATGGTAACTCGTTTTGCTGCCAGATTCGATCATATGAAAAATTCCATGAGCTAGAGCATATTTTGTCATCGGAGATGGCTTAAAGCTTGAGAACGTACTCAATGAAATGATTTGATCAAACTCTTTCTTGCAAACTCTCCATAAATACTCATGCCCACTGTGGGAATCAACAGTAAAAGCATGTTCTTCATAACCATCAGACATCAACCAATCACGAAGTGACTTGTGATAGACAGTTAAACAATTGTCGTAAACAGGCAAAATCGAGGACATGATTCCAATTATTGAGTCACGTACTTCGTACTCGACATCATCAGGCAACCCTAGACACTCGGGCAATAAACTCAATGGCAGTGGGCCTTTAGCCGCAGCAAGGATTTGAAGAAAACGCTTCAACTTGACTTCCGATGAACCAAAGTCATTGAGTTGATTTTTTAAATGCTTAAATTGCTTTTGATAAAAACCACTTATACCTTTGGGAATAAGTTGGGAAATGTTTTCTGTCGTTAGCTGTGTCGTTGTTTCCTTCAACTCTAATTGAGTGTAATATGCGTAAAGAAATGATCCTTCGCATTTTTCAGCTAATGACCAAAAGACGTAGAAATCGTTACAGATATGTGATAAGGATTTTCGAAGGTACCCCAGGAGATCGTCCTTGTTATTGTTATCACGAGGGATAATTTGCACGGGATTAAGATGCTGCAATTCTTCTTTCACTGGTAGCTCTGGTCTGCTGGTGATCAAGATTTTGATCCACTGGGGTAGTTTAGGAAACTCTTCCGAAATTAACTCCAGAAATTCACTTTTTCCTTCAACCGCGCTTTCATCCAGTGCATCGATAACAAATAGCATTGGTTCGCGCTTTCTTAGGGCATGCAGAGGATCGTTTAAAAGAACTCGAAATGCATCTGATAGTGTTTCTCTGGAATGACTTCTTTGCAGTTGATCATCAAGTTTAGCTTTAAAACCTTTTACATTGTCGCACATGTTGCTGGTCAAGGACTCGATTATCATGCGTGGATTGCTGTAATCCGACTTATTGTACTGGCAAAAATGACAAGCTGCCAGCTGTCCTTTTCCGTCGTACATTCGGCAAACCTCGGCTGCGAAAACGCTCTTTCCAACTCCCGGACCTGCGGTCAGAATCATTACATTCGAATTAGAATTTTTATCTTTAAACCAAGCGCTGAATTGATCTAAAAGCCATCGTCTTGTTCCTGGTAAAAACGTTTTGTTCAAACTTCTTCTGATCCCACTGAAATCACACTTGCCCAGCTTATTCGCAACCGACACGTTTTCACTTTCTCGGGATTTTTGCTCAAGCTCTTCCTGAAAGTTTTTAAATTTTGCTATGGTTTCCCTGAGGTCAGCATTCATTTCGACTTCACTTTTATACCAATATTCCAACAGCTGGATACAATCAGCTTCTTCAGGACTGAGAGGAGCGTCTTTTAATTCATCCAATTCAGACTTGGGAATTCCAAGACCAATCAATGCTTTAGATATTTTCAGCCACAAGTTCTCAAACTCGTTGTCAGCAACCTCCGTAGTCGTAATATGAGCATGAACCTGATTTCTATAAAATTTGATCCTCGCTATGTTAGCTGCCACGGACGTGTCAGAATCTGGAGGCAAAGCATCCCATCCACTTGCTGGCCTGGTCAATCCACAAATGTTTCGCAAAAGTACGGTCAACAAAGTCACATCAAAATTTTGCGAATCTGGCAGACCTGAAGAAGGATACAAGAGTTTCCATTGTGAAGTATTTATCACCTTGTACCTCAGTTTTTGTAGTATTGCTTTGTTTGTGTTTAACACTGCAGTTAAAGTGGGTGGAGGATACATGAAGTCGAATGCCGCTCTCAATGCCTGCGTTCCTTTATTTACCAAAAGTCGGCTCAGTCTCCCACCGTTGGCTTGGTCGTTAAGAGTTTGCGAAGGCGAAGCCATTCTCTACAATGTCGTAAAATAGAATTTAGGTATTTCATCACAATATATTCAACAACAACAATAAGAACAACAATTTATTTTTCCTTTGACTGACATGAATTATAATTTTAACAAAATTTTTGAACGGGCGGAGGAAAGAGGAAATTATTAACTTTATTATACTGATATCCCGATAACGTTAGCCTTCAAGAGAAAAACATTGAAATTCTCCTGCATAATCTGAGGCAATTTTGACTGATTTAAATAACAATAAAATTCTCTCTCCATATTTCACTCAGCATGGTTATTATTAGACTTAAGAGACTGTAGACAGTAATAAATAATAAATAATAATAATAAAGACTAGCTTTATTTAAACTGTTAAAAATCCCATCAGCAATGCTGCTGGTATTAATGGAAGAAAAGTGATTATATTATCAACGTCACACTTATTTTATACACAATATAAACATGCATATTCTTATACACTACAAATATGAGACTTCTTGTCAAGTTCCAAAAGATGCGTATAAACAGTACGTTTAAGAAGGATATCAGTTCTCTAATTTTTTCTGTGTTGGTGTTATTTACTCAGGTGAATACGATGTTTGTGATGTTACTCTGAGTGTATATCCACACCTGGCAGGCTTGAAAAGTATGCCTGACCACGGTGGGAATCGAACCTACGACCTTTGGAATACTAGCCCAAGCTTGCCCGGTGTGGATATACACTCAGAGTAACATCACAAACATCATGTTCACTTGAGTACATAACACCAACACAGAGAAAAAATCATGATTACTAGATTGCATTGATGTCGAAGGAACTAGACTCTGTTCCGAAATATCACATATTCGAACCATCCTGATCGCGTTGCTCAGTTGGCAGAGCAGTGACCTAGTATTCCAAAGCCTGCCCGGTGTGTATATACACACAAAGTAACATCACAAGCATCATATATACAAATAGTTTCAAACGGTTACAATATTCAAGCGAATAAGAGGAAGGATGAAAAACAACCTGTCATTAAAAATATTAGTAAATTAAAGATATATAATGGTTAGTAATTAGGGACCTAGCAAAGCATTAGAATAGGTCTTAATGTTTAAGAGTTCCAGTCTTTCGCACCAGCATACTTGAATGTTGATTGACCTATTGTTCTGTTCACCTTCGGAGGATCAAGCAGTGTCTTATCCGTCAACATTCTGTTGTGCGTGCAACGTCGGAATCTGAACTTCTCAGTTGGCTAGGGCAATCCAAGTTATACAGTATCTTGAAAATACTTATAAAACGTAAAAATCGTAGTGCGCCCTCTCATATCAGCACACAACATTATTCAACGGCCTAGCGGCCAAATTCACATGCACCTTTTCCGTTTTATTCATTCATTAAGGTTGTTCATGTTGAAAAAGGTCTTGAATATGGTGTGTATCAGCACAGCAAAGAGCAATATGCTGTTTATACAAAGATACAGAAGAGTTAAACTTGAGGAGGAGATACAGGAGGCAGAGACGTTGACAGGAGACGACTTGTACATGGAGGAGAGGATTTAAAGTCAGGATTGAAGAAGGAGGATTGTCAACCTCGCAAGCCAGGTATTTAATAATTTTCCACGGACGTGGAGGTGAACAGTGCAAAGGTATTTACCGAGAAACGCGAAGCGTTGAGGTGAATATCCTTGGACTATTCACCAACACTGAGGTGAACTAGAAATACATGCATGCAGCATTCCCTGGCCTTTCTTAACAGATGATCATGAAGTATAGAAATTGCACGTGAAATATTTTATATTATAACAATGGTACATTAGAGTAGGCTTCAATTCAATGTAAAATAAAACGGTAAAACGTTTCAAAAACAAATACTTTCCACAAATAGTTTGCTCGAAAATATCAGTAAAATATATTCGCTTTATAGGCACAAATTAAGCTTTTACTTGAGTTACTTTTGGTCAAGCAAATAGCTTTGAGGAATACCTCTACACACTTTTAAACAAAACATTGTTGTTTTCTTTATGTTTGGCGAAACCGCAGCTACTTATAGCACAACATTTCCTTGTCTGTATCCGGAAGAAAACGGGAAGCCATTTTGTTTTTGTCCGGAAGTGAATAGTGCAAGGGTCATGACTACAGGGTATATGGACTAGACCAGAGGCAGGTTTTCAAGATGGCCGCCAGTTTTTTAAGATCATTAAAACGTAAAAGAATCAACAACCAGCCACTTGCAACAATACTAAACCCTATCATCATCCCATACTTAATCCTAACCCCAACACTAACCCTAATACTAACGCAGACTCTTACTTCAATTTTGGAACCATCTCATAAACAACCTCTCGTCCATCCCTTTTAGACATTACCATAGTGTAACTGTGTAACTATACAGATACAGAGCTGGGCAACCAATAAAATACTCCCGATTACGTACTAGTTAAAACATGAGTAGCCGATCTTTATCTGATATAAAAATTCGAGCCGAAGGCGAGAGTCTGTATACCAGATAAAGATCGGATACGAATGTTTTAACGTGATTAAAAATGACCCATCTTATGAGTTCATTGGCGAAGTAATTTTAAAAATAAACATTATCTAGGCCGTGAAAATCAAAGCTGAAGTTTATGTAAATCAGGACAAATCTTTATCCGATTTACAAACATCCTCGTTCCCAGGGCTTCTTGGCTGCCTTACGGCAACGCAGGCAGCCGAGAAGCCCTGGGAACGAGGATGATTTACAAACATTGATTAAACATTCATTTCTTTTGAATTTTCTTCATGAATTATTAATGAGTTTTTAAATGCTATTAAAGTGTATAATATCAGTGCAGCGGCCACAAGCTCAAATCCCCGGATATTTAATTGACTGAACAACTCTACTGATGATACTCCATTATACCGATGATACTCCATTGTACTGAAACAAGTCTACCCCCAAAATTCGGCTGTCTCTGACTCTGGTTTAATACTCGGTCAATTATATTTATAAACATAGGAAAGCTCTTTAAACTATTAATGATAAACCTCTCAAAAATGACTCACTTTTTTGGGGGGGGGGGGGGGGGCAGCACAACTGTTTGTGTGCCAAGCAAAAGGACTTTTTCAGTATAGACGGAAGTAAGCGGAATTTTAAAATAGTTTTAGTCCAAAATTGACAAATTGGTAACATTTTTCATAATTCTGGGAGATTGTTCTGACTGTTCTTGAGACTGCTCGGACGGTCATATTCACTATTTAACCAAAATTTACCAAATTTTATTGTGCAGCGATCAGGGGCGAAACATACGGCTGGGGGGGGGGGGGGGGGGT